AGGTAGTAACTGCTGGACTGCTGTGGTTGTCGGGTAGCGTACACTATCAACTTAAAGCTGTGATCTGGTGGTAATCTTTACTGACGTGGCTTAATTTGAAGTCTTTGTGCAAGCCCAACTGATGCTTCAACATTTATGCGAGCACATCATCTAACCGAATTTGAATTATACTGCTGAATTTGCTGTTTAAAATCACTTGGATCGACCATTAGCGCCTACTAGGTTTGCTTTAGATTGTTTAAATCTTCGGCAAAACTGCTTTTTTAATTAATGGGACGCTTCCAAGTAAATGTAGATTGTCACAACTTAAGGAAAAGTAATTGTTTGGAACGAGTCGTGTATGGTAACCCTCCGCGAATTTCTCACTTAGATTTTACCGGCGGTTGTACGCCTCTGCGGTAAAGAATACAATTCCGAAGATTCACCGACTAATTCGTTCCATTACTACTCTCTCCTTCCGACTCTAGCCTTTCCAATCTGGGTATGTATGGAGTGCGCGAGTTCTCGTCAATCATCAGTCCACCCCAAGTGGCCTCTCTGGCCGTTGGCGGCGCCCAAAGTCGCGTTCGCCTCTTACCTTGTGGCGATCTTGAGCCAGTGACCACTCTGACTCTCACTCTCTCAGCTGATGTGCGTTTTGTCGATGAGGTGGTTGCGGCTCGGTTCCTTCATCACGTACGGAACTATCTTGAGTCCAATCCTCAGAGTCTCCTTGAGGATGACCCACTTCTGGCCGCCGAAGCGGGTTGCCGCGATCTCTCTGTTTTAGCCTTCTGAGATCATGGGAGCCGCCTGCATGGCCACACGCCTTCTGGTTTCTCTGAGTCTTTACCAAATATTGCACAACTTTGGTGCGGGACTTAGTAGTTGTCTGTTCTTGTTTTTTCCTTTTAAAATAGCTAAACGAGTAGCTTACTTTTGTTTTGTTGTTTTATTAAGGCAAAGTAGGGAAATGCAAATAGGGTAGCATCCATGAACATATCGCTCGAAATTGCGGTTGATATAGGAGGAGATGGATTGGTATTCCGGTGGACCGAGCTTCTTTAAATGCCTCTTCTAGTTCCATCTGGGAAGGGAATGGGGTTGAGGTTTCAGTTTAGGATTATAAATTACTTTGGAAAAGTGGGAGTGAACCCACCTCTTTGAGTCTCGCGCCCCTTGGGAGGCATTCTTTTGAACCAATAAATACTTGGACGTAATCCATGATCTAAGGTGTAGAATCGATGTTTGTTATGGGCTCCGGTCCGTGCAAACCTTGGTTGCATTCGAGCACTTACCTTCTGAATCACCTCTTTTGAAATGTTGAGATCCTGGTCCGGTTCATACTTGTCCTTGGAACAGTTGAAAAGGCTGAAGTGGAGGAAAAATAATTTTTTATGTGCTCTAAAGTTGTCTCTCTGACTGCAATGGAAGTCAAGCCCTTGCGAAAGCGAGCAATGCGACTATTCAATTCAGGTTCGCTTTCTGTGTGAGGCGTCTATTACAAAGTTTAGAAAGAGTGGGTTTCTCAAAATGGGTTCGTTTTCTTTATTACGCCTTCAGGACTTATTCAAGATGCCTGGTTGTGTGTATCACCTGTTTGAAGTGCATGTTTCCTCACAGCGTGGTCCCACTGGACGACATTCACGAGTCAGACGTGAGGCAAAGAGTGCAAGAATGCGCAAAATTGCCGGTCCAACGTATTAGCCCAAGAAGGCCTTGGGACAGCATTGATGTTAGTGTGTGGATCAATTTGGTAGTCTAGAGGGGATGTCATTACCTTTCCATCTTGTAAACGTTCCAGTCTTCAGATTAGTTTAAAACTGATTTAATAGTAGATTTCTTTTACTTGGTCAAGAGTACAGTGAGACATCCTGGTTGGTAGCGTCTGTTTCCACCGCAGGAGCTGAAACTAAGACTGATTAGGATCGGTTATGGCTCAACGATGGGGATGAGTCGAAAGGCAGTGTCACTCTTACACAACCTCGGAAGGCACCATCACAATGATGCTGCAAATCAAAGCAAAGTTGATTTGGAAGAGAGAATTGCTTCTGTTGCTGAAACATCTCGTGCCTCATTAGTCCACTACCTGGAATGCCTTCCAAAAGGAAGACTTAATTGGAGTCCACGCGGAAAGCATACACTCGAAGGAATCCAAAAAGGCATTTTCGACCTTAAGAGGAGTACTTCACAGACGGTGCAGATGAAGTTGTTACTTTAATTTACTCCGTTTTTCCTCAGTTCCTTGCAGTTTGACAGAGAGACTACTGGAGGAGTAAATTCGGCTTTGAATTTCTACACATCAGCATCAAGATAGTCTTCTGTTACCAAGTTGACCAGAAATAATGCTGCTGATACAGT